GTGTTATTCTTTTGAGACATAATCAAGTACTTTCGTGGATATTGGATCTGCTTTTGGAATCCAAGAGTATTTTATCATGTCATTATAAGATTAACAAGTTTTTTTTCCAGTTACATTTCCAGATGAACATATTCAACTGCAAGGAGCAACCCCCTATTTTATAATATTTTAAGGAGTTTTGTATTATAGGACAATTTTTTGACGTAGCATTTATTTTAATTTTTGCAATCTAAAAGCATGTGATATTTTACTTCTGAAAAAATATTCCTAGTTAATGTTTTTCCATCTACCTACTTAAAAGAAAGAAAAAGTGAACATTACTGGCACAGGTTGAGGAAGCACTTTTGGGGCAGTCTCTTTCAAAGGCAATCTGCAGTGTCAAACTGTTGAAGCAGAATTTGTCCTTCAATGGGCTCATTTTATTATTGGAAATTCTGTTTAAACTAAGAATTGCATTTAGCAAGTATTGTGACTCTAAGGAAAATTTCCTCTCTCACTCCATAGGCTGAAACTTGAAACAGCTGCTGTAGAGCCTGTTAATTTTCAAATATTTTGCCTGATAAGATATTTAATAATTGTACACCATTTGGTTAAAAAAAATTGCTGAAAGTCAATATTGCTCTCCAAAACTATACCTCTGCATTAAGTCTACTATTACTACTCAGTAATATTTTTACAATCATGGTAGAGTGAAATAATTTCATTTTTTCTGGTTGTTTCATTACAATTAAGCATGCACACATCCACAGACACCGTAAGGAGATGTTGGGATGTCTGCAGACATCTGTTTTGCTGAGTCACTACCAGAGCTGGTTTCATGTTCTGGGACATCCTGAGATGTTTCTGGAAAGGACCATATGAGCCAGAACATTTACCATGAGTCTTACTAATAAAAATAAATTGTGTGTAAGTAGCCATTTAGTTTTATGTTTGAACTAGGCCTGTTTTCTTCTGTTTTGATTAATAGTTACATTACTTTTGTCTTTTGCTATCTATATCTATAAGGCAGAAGCTAAAGTCTGAAAATGAATACTGAGTTTTAAAGTAGTCATAGATAATGCTCATGTTGGATGAATGCTGCTTATTAATTCCCTTTTTCTTGTTTAGAGTAGACTCTAAGAGTACTTGGAAAATTGTTTAGTAGGATTCAATTTCTTAAAATACAAAGACTTTTTTTTGGTAATTAATGCAAATGATACATACAAAAATTCTGTTTCCTAGGTTGCAATTTTAAATTTATATAAAACTAAACTTATGTTATTGATCTACTTCACTGGAATTGACATGGTCTGCACTTCAATATGACAAAAATCTCGGAGACTTCTGCCTGTAGAACTTTAGAATAGAGCAAAATGAACTTTTGGAGTAAAAAACCCCATTGTTACAAAATACTTGTTGTCTGAGTTATTTAAAACTCAACTACAGAGAAGAGAGGGAAGTACTTGCTGCTAACTGTAAATGTACGGCTTTATGCTTTTTTTAGCTAGGACCAAGAAGTCTTAGATAATTGCTCTCTTCCAGGTTCTTAAATTCTCTTATACTTTAATGCATATCTCTGAAGGCAAATTGTTACAGCATGGAACATTTTCTTTGATTATATAATTTTCTTGCAAGTTCCATAGTACAGTACCTTAATTTTGACAATGAAGGGAGTTTTCTTTTGACAACTTGTGTTACTGGAGACTTTTAAAGCCTGTCTGTGGGTGAGATTTAATTTAATCCCTTGAGTATTTAATAAGCATTCCTGAGACTGTCGCCAAAAGGTGACAAGATTAGCACTTGAGGTTTATTGACAGGATGCCTCATAGGAAAGACATTTATCTGTAAGGGTATTGTTTTAAAAGAAGGAATAAAGTCTGGGTTAAGCCCTGGGCATATACACACTTTTTGAAACGCAGAAAGAATAGAGCACTTTCTTTTCATCCTGGCACAGGGACATAGCAGTTTACAGAGGTAAGAAATGTTGACAAAACTTCACAGTGACTAACTTCCTATCAGAAAAAATAAGTACTTGAGGATTAAGAAGGTCTTGACAGTCCCTGCCATAAACTGAATTTCAGGCATGCTCAAAAGTCATTATTCGATAATAGAATTGTGTTCTTACATAAATGCTTGTACCCAAGTATATATGTGTGTGTTGGAGGATGACAGAGGTTACCAGAGGGTTTGTTGTTTCTGGATTTAAAAATCTCGGTAAGAACTAAATAATATCTTGCATTCCAAGATTTTAGCATGTGAGACCTCTCAATCTCTTTGTCTCCTGTAATCTTGTTGAGAGAACTCTGTGATTAACTGGTCATAAAGTCTTGTCTGCATCAGTAGGTCTTGGCTAATCATGTGCCCATCCCAAAGAACAAATACTCTGTGGTACTGATTCTACTTTAGTATAGCCCAGTGTGGTCCTGTTCCCATCAAAGTTTTTCCTTCAGGTTTATATAGCACAAATAGAAGAATAATTAGATCCTTTCCTCTTATTTTATCTATGGAGTATGTATTGAGCGACTTATTTTAAAGCAGTTGTGATTCAATGGGGATGTTTTTAATTTGCTGCCTGTTCTCTTTTACCTCTGAGGAAAGAATTTTGTAAATGCTGAATAATTTTAGAACATGTTTTCTTGGTTAAGGGTTGGCTCATATTTTCAATTAGTTTTAAGAGGAAGGAAATCGTGTAAATGCTGTGGAATTCAGATAAGCACTGTGCATAGGAAATAAGTACTTTAATTTAGGGTGCCTAGAATTGGTAGGTCAAGCTGATGATAGTAAAGGACCAGATCTTAACTTTGTTTCAAAGAACATGTAATCAGTATTCACTCCTGTTTTATTTCCCTTTTACTTGAGAATTTGTTTTGGTGAAGCTGAAATGTGCAATTGCTTAAGTATTCCACAGGGTGTCATGAGGTAGTTGTTGGAATCATTAATACTTGGATGAAATAAAGAAAGAAACATAGTGTGCAGTCCTCTGAATGCCAGTTAATGTAATTTTAGATGTGACTAATACAGATGCCATAAAATAAAAAGTTCTTAACTCATTAACACGTGTATCATGTTTCTGTATCTGTATAAAATATACACACGAAGAAAAATATTGCAAGAGGTCATTCACAAGAGTAAGCTATTCTATGTCAGGTCTTCCCAAAAAGACCTTTCTATATATTCCTTAGTATTTTATAGTTTACACAGCAAGTGGAATCTTTGGCTCATAGCAGTAATCTGATATACCAAGCAATGTATATATTAAAAAAAACAAAAAGGAAAAAGAAAAAAGGTACAAGAATTCTATTTGACATATTATAGAGAATTTCTAATTGAATTGTGCTCCTCCAAATTAACTTTCAAATTTTGTTTTAATTTTTATTTAACTTATTTGAAAATTTAGTTTTTTGAAAACACACTTTATGCAGGGCACACAGCTGTACTGTGGATTTTATGACTTGTTAATTGTAGATATATATGATGTCAAAACTTCAGGATTTTTTCTCCCACACTTCTATAATGTAGTAGGAGGAGAATTTTTCCCAAGGTGTGCCCCAAATTGAAGTGTATTTGATTATGGTGGTACGTTCTTTCATACGGAGATCAAATTTTTATTGACGTAACTGTTGACTTCTGCAGAGCTGCACATGCATTGAATTCACCTTCACATTTGTAAAGAAATCTTTAAAGTCACTGTAAAAGCTTCTGCTTCTGTTAAAATCTGAGTTGCTTTAAATGGAAAGATATTGACTATGTGAAAAAAAAAAGATTACATTATAAAATTAAAAGGAAAACTGAATTAATTTCAGTAGCAAGAGAATGTGATCAAACTGAAAAAATCACTGATGAAAGTAAGAATTTGAATATCTGTTGACAGTAATAATTTGTCTAATGTTCACAATGTATTTAAAACCCATTTTGAACAAATGATACTTCATGGATTTTGGCATATTTTCTTATATTATCTGAAGTGGCATACTAAAATAACAGACCAGTTAATTTTCTTGTTACTATTTATTTGTGTGAAGTCTTAAGTAACAAATCTTGGGTTTGTGCCAGTCGGTGCATAATAATGAGTGGCACTGAGAGTGCAGGATGGAGTGAGGGGGATTCTTCCAACAGACAATTATTGAAATTTTACACATCTGACATTACACTCCCCCCCTGCATTCTGCCCAGAGGTCACAGTGCCTTACAGCCACAGAAGGGAATTGCCATCACAATCAGCAGCTGAGTGCTTTTATTCACATTTACTTCCAAAGTCCATATTGCTTTGTGGACAACTTTTTGTGCAAAACCTTTGTGATTTAACTCTTCCTGAATTAACCTCTATAAATCGTGACAGTGTGCTTACAGGTACTTGAGCAATATGTTCAAATACTTTCTAAATGAGGAACGAGTTTTATTTAAAGAAGTTAAAATATCCAAAATAGAGTGACATGTTTAAATTTTCATGGAGGTGAAGAAAGTGAATGCAAGTGGTGCCCCTGGAGATTTTTTGTTTGGTTGTTTTTGAGTTTGGCTTTTTTAAGAATAAACATCCTTATCTCTGCCCAGCTTAGTTTTCCTTACGGCAAGGCATCATGGAAGAGATTTTTAGGTAGGCAGGATATAATCTTTCTTCTTCCTCATTTTAGGGCTCACTCAAATTGGTTTGCCTCACCCTTTCTTGGTCCTTCTTATTCAACTAGAATAATCTAAAGGAGTAATTCCAGACATACTTTGAATTACTGAGATAACGCAGTACCTTAAACGAGAGTGATTAATATCAGCAAATAGTTAAATAATAAAATACCTGACTGCAGTGAGATTTTCCCTTTATTTTATTGGAAAATTATACTTCTTCAGCAAAAGAAAACAAGATGGAAAGGACCGAAGTTTAAAACTGTTGGTGGCATAGCAGTTACAAAGTTGGCAGTGTAACGAGGCACGTGTATCATATATGTGATGTGTATGCACTCAGCACCCAAGTCCCTCTTGGAACGTTATGACAAGGTTGATGATTATTGTAATGTTTTTATTTACAGATTGAAAATCTACAGGAGCAACTTAGGGACAAAGACAAGCAGCTAACTAATCTGAAAGACAGAGTGAAGTCGCTGCAGACGGATTCCAGTAATACAGACACAGCACTGGCAACCTTAGAGGAAGCTCTGTCAGAAAAGGTAATGTTTTCTCATGAAAACCTTCATGTGCTGCTCTTGTGGGTGAAGTGTGTGCAGAAAATGTGCTTCTGAGTTGGCCTCACATCTCTCCCAAAGGCTAGGGGCCTTGTCAGGGGAGCAGGTGGCTTGTTCTGGTAGGATGAGCAGGAATGACTGTCAGGGGATGAACTGACACAGAACTTGGAGGACAAGGAGTGATGTCCTTTGAGTGCTTATGGAGAAAATGGCCCAGGACACGGGGAGATTTTGCCTTAGCCAATGAGGGGAGTGGTTATTCCCTGAAAGACCTGAAAGGCATTGGTTGTCTGACTTAAAGAAGGTAGAGTTTTGGGCATTTTTCTGTCTTGGTGATCTTGATTATCCTGTTCTTTGGCCCATTAAGCAGGGGCCAAGAGCAAGTGGCTCTACCAACTGTTACCTTGGCTTGCTGTGAGCATTACTGGCTTCCTACACTTCTTTTTTAAGGGAAACTGTTTCATTAAAAAAAAATATTAAGCATTCCTGTTTTTTTTTTTTCCTTTACAAACTCTATGCCTTTAATTTGAAAATACCTAGGAGAAGGGATAAATCTGAACTGTTTAAATTAGTGGCAACATTCCTACCAGTTTCAGTGAGGTCAGGTTTCTTCTTTCAGTTCGCTTTGAGTACGAGGTAGTGCAAGTGAATTTATATGCCAAAAAATTAGTACAAATACCCACATTTTTCAGCTCACAGATATTAATATATACTACTTAAATGTGAACAGTAAAGTAATATGTGCCATTCTGCAGCGTGTAATCCTATGAAGGTATTTATGACTGCATATGACTTGAAAATGCTGCTGTGGTGTTGGCACTGACACATACAATGTTAATGTCATATTTTTTTATTTCTTGTGTGTTTAATTGATTTCCTAGCATTTGCTTGGTCAACAACGGTGAAAAAAGTTGTTCTTGGTATTGATTCAAGTGGATAAGCATTTAGTTATACAGTAAAATTACACATTTCTGTAATCTTTCACTGGTACACAGTGTAATCTGGACACAGTGTTCATGAATTTCACAGCGTGTTAATAAAAAATAGACAGAAAGTACTTTTTAATCTGTTTTCTCTCCTTGTAAACTATCTTTTCTGGATTAGTCACTTTCCCAAAATGCCTGTAGAGGCAGCTAAGGGTTTTTTGAAACAGTCGTTTGGGAAGCAGAGTGACTGTCACAATGGAGACTTGCATAGGAGTAGGAGGTAAAGCAACACTGCTGAGTTAGGATTCAATTAGCGTTTGAACAATGGGGTGCTTGATCTGAGAGCATGAGCCACAATGAGAAGGTTTCCAAGGTAAATCTCTGTAGGATTTTGATTGTTGTACAGGGAAATCACCCTCGATTTCTTTTCCATTCTAAGTCCCTTGAAGGCCACTCTAGGAAGGGCAGATTTTTTGAAGTCAGGGGTGATTTCTGGGATGAACTTACACACTGAAAGAAGCTAGTAGCCATCCTCTAGAAATTGCAAACGGACAATTACACCTGGCTTTTTTCTGTCTTCTGGCAGCTAAATACTTTGACAGTGTCTGTTTACACATGTGCCTCATTCCTTTCTCCAGCTTCTCAATTCCTCCTGACTGCTCTCAGTACTTTCTTATGCAGTAGCATTCTTCAGACCTACAGACCTTATCAATAGTTATTAAATATTTCCACTGGAATACTGGGAGAAATATGGGATAGAGGTTTGTCCAAATGAGACAGAACAGGAACCTTTAGTGAGTTGTTTATTAACAAGTGCATCAATATAAGTACTTTTATCAGTTCAGTATGTAATGCTGTCAAGAAAGGATGATGTTTTCATTTAAGAATACCTGGTTTCTATTTCCATGGAAATGCATTGTTTGCATCCTTTGTTTTCCTTTCTAGAAATTGTATCAGACCTACTTGTCAACTATGTAATTTTGTGTTTGTACTCTGAGATTAGGCTGTTTTTTGCATTATATTATTTCTTTGTCCATTCAATAGTTTTTTGAATTTTAATTAAAAATAGTGAATAAAATTCTTTGAGACTGTCATGGGAAGCTCTTTTAAAACAGAAATAAAATTTATTCATACAAATTTAGCTGACCACAGGTTACTGGAATCTGACTGAACTGCTTTTCTTAGCATCTATAGGAAGAAAAAAATTAAAACATGCTCATATGATATTAATGAATTATAAAGCTGTTTTTGAAGTCCAAAACTCAAATGTTTTCCTGCAGCTTTCTTGAAAATACACAGATTAAGATTTTGGCTCTGAATTAGAAAATGTGTTTCCTTATTCTTTATGAAAATAGATTTTCCCAAGTGTCTGTCTCTTGATTTTCTTTCGTATTTAGTGATTAGGTATCTTGGGAAGGCTAAATGAGAAATTAATGTAGCTATAATAAAACAAGGTCAATTTTTCCTTCTTTTAATCTTAGTATTTTTCTGATGATATTGCTGGTGTGATTTTTCCTCTTGTCAGGAATCAGAAACAAATCAATTCAGTCACATTTGAGTTCATTTTGGAACTAAGCTGCAAAAGATCTTCATTCAACTATTTATCCCTAATTTCAGAGCTGCCCCTAAGCATTGAAAATTTGTAACAACAACAATAAGGATTACATTCCAATTAAAAAAGAAAAAAAGTTTGAAAATCAGACTATGCCAAGTGCTATCAGCTGCCTTGATGTTATAACAAGAAACTTTTCAAAGAATATCTCAGCTCTTGGACTGGCCCAAAGCAGCTCAAGAGGTTGCTTTCATGAAGCTGATATTTATAAAGTTGGTCCTACTGTAGCAGCATACAGCAGATAAGCAATGGAGTATGTCTGATAATGGAGCTATATGCTGGGGCAATTCAGTTCCTGCTTCTGTGATAAAGTGCAAATAGATTAGACCTGTGAGGTCCCAGATTAGTGCATAAGGAAAGCTGCCCAATGCAAACAAGACTGAAACAAGAACACATTGTTGGGATTTCTGCAAGTTAGCTGTTACTCAAGCAAAACATGGTTTATTAGGGCCTTTTAACACGGTTTTGACATTTAGCCTTATGCAGCTGACAGATAAATTAGTCTTCTTTTGTGATTGACTGAAAAAAAAAATACACTGTTCATTAAAAAGATGAAATAGTGTTATGTTTATTTTGTTGTAGATGAAAAAATCATTTGGGTAAATAAATCTTCAAGAAGGAATTGGTAAAAAATTAATTCTGAATATAACCCGGTGGAATCGGAATGTTTATGATTATTAAAGTATTCTACTTTATGGAGGCTGGCATCGTAATATTAATATTCAAAGTATTAAGAATTTAAATTGTTTGTTATTTGGAATAAACCTGAAGTTATTTAGTGTCATAAGTTTAGATTGGAAGGATGGTAAAGATCATCACCTAGTTCCAACCCTCTTGCAGTGGGCAGGGACACCTTCCATTAGACCAGGTTGTTTCAGCCCTCAGATCTTCCTGGCCCTCCTTGGGACCCTCTGCAGCACATCTGGGTCCTTGTGAGGGGCCCCAGAGCTGGATGCAATTCTTCCCCAGGTGGGTGTCAGCAGGGCAGGAGTGAAGAGTCACCTCCCTGACCTGCTGGCCACGCTGCTTTGGATGCAGCCCAGGAACACAGGTGTGGTTCTGGGCTCTGAGTGCTCATGGCTGCGTCATGTTGAGCTTTTTGTCACTGTACACAGCCAAGTCCTCCTCCTTTTGGGCTGCTCTGCTCAGCCTAGGATTGCCCTGACCCAAGTGCAGGACCTAAATTATGTTGCTTCTACTGCCCCCCCAACTGCCACCACTCAGTGATACCAGTAGTTCTCCTGATACTCTGCTTAAAGACCTGCTTCCAACTGAAATGCAATTCCAGTGGTTATTTCATTGTACCCTAAGTATTTTTCTCTGATTGGTATTTGCATCCTTCAAGTATTGGTGAAATGTGATTTTATAGACCATAATCAGAGGTTAACGAAACCATACTACTGTGTCTGCTTTTTCCATTTCACCCTTTGAATTAATGACCCAATCAATGACTGGTGATTGTCAGCAAACCTTGAAATAGTTATTGGAAATCAGCAAAATACGCAGAAGCATGGCTGAGTTTAAAGATCTGTAGGGTTACTGTTAATTAGACAGAGAAATATCTTCCTTTGGGTTTCTTAATTTGTATCTGGGTACTTTTTCTGTGTCTTGGACAACTGTTTTTTTTTTGACATCTCAAAATATAGCATGTAAACTGTAAGTTACTGATAGTTAGCAAGTGGCTGATTAGATCTGGAACTTTGGTGTCTTACTGCAAGCACTGTAGAGTACTAACAAAATTGAAGCTGAGTAAACTGGTCATGGCCTCTGAGGAAACTATTCATGGCTTGTTTTGAACTTATTTTCAAGACTTCAAACACTTATGAACACAGGAAATATATTATTGAAGTAAATATCTTTCCACATCTATCACAAAACTCAACATACTCCTATCAGTATAGCTCTTTAATGAAGTTTCTGTACTGTGTTACTCTTATCAAGTATTTAAAAACTTGATCTTATGATTTTGAAATCTAGAGAAATCTTGCATTGACTTTAATGCCATCAACTCAATCATCCTCTGCTTCTGCAGGTTTTTTTTTAATAAGTGCTACATAATGTAAACAAATTTAATGTTGTCTTTTCTTAAAATTATTTCCAACTTTTCTGTTTTGCAATTCTTTTCCTTGTTAGGAAAGAATAATAGAGCGTCTGAAGGAGCAAAGGGATCGAGATGACAGAGAAAGACTTGAAGAAATTGAATCTTATAAAAAAGAAAACAAGGACCTGAAGGAGAAAGTTAATGCTTTACAAGCTGAACTGACAGAAAAAGAGGTCAGTCTTTTCTTAAAAACTCTGCTCTTCTATCTATGTCATTATGATGAAAGAAAGTGCATTAGGATTACTCTTGAGTCGTGTCAAGTACTGAAATTCTGCCACTTCAGTGTTCAGCTTCAGAGCTGCTGTTTTCTTAAGCATTCTTCACAGTCCTCATTTGTACATAAAATATTACTGCAGTTTTTACCTAGTTGTGCATTATAATCTCTACTTTGTCCTTTACCTAAGCTTCCACTAGGCTCAAATATTTCATTGCTGCTCCTGTTTTTGTTTGTCAGTTAGAGAAACAGTTTTCAGTGTGTTTGTACCTCCAGAATGACATGAACTCGTCTGTACTATGAATGTCTGTGTTTCACTGCATGCCAGCTCCTGTGGTTCCAGCTGTATGCACAAAATGGTGTCTTTTGCTATCAATGCTTATCTTTGAGTCACCTCTTTTTGGGGGAGGGGGAACAGGATCCAGGTGATTGCTAAGTTGGCAATGAGTTAGTGTCCTGGTCACTAGGAATTAACTTTTTACTCTTGGTCGTTTTCCAGTCTAGTTTAATCGATCTCAAAGAACATGCATCTTCATTGGCATCAGCAGGGCTGAAAAGAGACTCCAAACTTAAGTCTTTAGAAATAGCCATAGAACAAAAGAAAGAAGAGTGTAGTAAGTTGGAAGCACAGTTGAAAAAGGTAAGTTCCATCTTAAAACAAACAATCAGCAAAACAAAAAATCAGCATCCCATACCCTCATTTTGAAATGATGAGCTTATTTACTCTTCTGGAGTAAATCTAGAATCTACCCATCCTATGCTGTTTGCTGATGCTTGCATCGAGTACTGCTTTTTCTCAAGAGGTTTGTACCAAAGCCACCAGTGAGCCTCAGAAATTGTCCTCAGTACCACTGTGAGGGAATTCTGAGAAGCTGCAACAAATAGATGAGCTGAGAGCAGGACACTGGGGGAAAAGGGCAGAAAGGAATTATCAAGCCAGCAATTTATATGTGTGTGAATTAACACCACTTTTAGAAGTAAACTGAAATGTTTGCAGGATGAGGAAAAAAATTAAAAGCTTGTCTAAGAAATGCTGGAATTCCTAATTAAAAAAATCAGCTTCTAAAATGAAAACTCTAGCTAGGTTTTATTTTGATGTATTTTTGGCTTTGTTGGTGAACACATGTTTGTGATAATTAAGCAAAATAATCAAAAGTTTATATCAGCTGGCAATTTAGTATTTCTATTCAGCAAGAAGTGGAAGCAAGCATTTAAAGGAAAATGTACAAACCCTGTATTTTATTACATGGTTTTACTTAAATTGCTGCAATAAACTAGATTTTGCTTAAATGATTTGCAAGTGTTTTGATACCATTGTTTCTTTGACCTTTCTCTGTGTTGTAGTAATGTCTGCTCTCATTGTTCTCATTATGTATTTGATGGGGTCAGGCATTACGTTTGCCTTCTGCAATTCATGACTAAGTGTACATCAAGTGTTTTGTTTTTTTTTTTAATATTGATATAGTTTTTCATTTTCTGATAATTAATATTTGTTCTGTGAATGTTATCACTGTTAGCATAATATTCTGACACTCTTTTTACCCAGGTTGAGTAGTATCCTGCTCAGATTAAGCATTGTTTCAATAGCCTGACCTGTGAAGAAGGTATTGCAAATTATAAAGGATACCAGCGTGTAAACCTTATACTTGTATTCTTTCTCAATTCAGAATGAATATGTGCAGTTAGGTGCCTGCATTAGATCTTTAGTTGAGAGGAGGGGAAGCTTTTTCAATAAACATATACAAATGGAAACACAAATAATTTAAATGGCTGATACATTAAATATGCTATTGATGGTAAAATTAAAATCTCCAAAAAAAAAAAAAGGTTTATCTGGGAAGTCATTTAGTTTGCTTAGCTTGTTAGAATAAATGTTTGTTTACTTTGCACTCCCCTTCTACAGATACTTTATTACAATCTGAAATGTATTTTTTTCCTTAATTTAAAAAACTACAGTTAAAAGAGCCCTGGAAGCACAGATCACTTAAAAAACCCTCATCAAAATCCTCTTGAAGGACTTGAAATCCTAAATCAATCATTTATGGCTGTACATATAAACACATCATACAGTCATGGAAAAACAAGCACTTAAAGTCAGAGAGTGTCTGGGATGTCTTTTGTATAAAAAGGGAGCATGTTTCTTGTGTATAAATACAATTATTGAATGAAAGTTAAAAACATAATAGTTTTATTATATCATAAATACAGCATAAAGCCCCAATGGAAATTCACCCACCATTTGTAGGAGACCAGGTATTTCCACAATAAAATGCAGTTACAACCTTCTTTCTGGGCATGCTTAATTGAACAGAAACAGTGACTGTTAATGACAGTAGACTCCAAACAGTCATTTTCAATTCACATTTTCTTTAATGAAATACTTTATGTTCAAACCTGTAAATACCCTGTGTTAAAAGTAATTGGTCCCCAGAAAAATACCTGCCCCGTGTTCTCACTGCCCAGGAAAGTGAGTGGAACAGAAACCTGGGTCACTTGCACATGTCTGGGTCAGAGGAGGAGGGGACAGCAGCAGGGTCATGAATGAACCCATGTGTCCCACGAGTGTGCTCACGTGTGAGCATCCACCTCTGCAGGGGCAGAGGCATCTGGCACAGTTTGCTTCTCCCTTTCCAAGCCCACTCCAAGGGGCTGGCTCCTTGAAAAAATTCCAAGTAGCTTACACAGTATTCCTCTCTAAAAATATCATGGAGGAGGTACTTTGTTATGCTGCTGTAAAATAATTATAGTTCAGAGTTGATGTGTAAGTTTTAGAAATTAAGCTAAGAAATATGAAGATAGTACTCTGTGCGTGCTTGCTGGGAGTTAGGTTTGCATGAGCACTAATAGTGCTAAGTGCTATGTCTGAAGGAAAATGTGCACAAGGGGCAAGTCCAAAGTAAAATTGTAAATAAAAACCACAACTGGAGTTTCTCCAGCTTTTTTTTTTTTTTTTTTTTTTTTTTTGAGACAATGGATTTTACTGGATCTGATTAGATCCAAATATTTTTTAGTACCACATAACTGGATTTTCTGCATTGCAGCAAGAAGAAATATGCTGATTCTAAACCCATGATTTCACACAGTAGGCACATTTCAAAAATAATGAAGAGGATAATTGTACAAAGTAATTATTCCTGTGACTCTGCTATATTTTGGTATAAAAAGTAATGTTTTAAGTTATGGACATGCTTATTGAACACTTTGTGACAAATATTATGGATTGAAATTCATAAAAAAATTTAAAAGAAAAAATTCTGAATACCAGAGAATGGTCAATGCTTTTTTCCCAAAATTCCATATTGCTACTTGTGAAAGAACAGCAGGAGAATTACCTAATAGGTAGCAAAGTGTTTTATATATATGTGTGTATATATAATCTTTATTATCCACTCCAGAATTTCCTCCTTTTGTTGTTTTTCATTATCTTAAATTTACTTGCTTACTGACATATTTGCAGTTGCTAAAGTACCATTTGCCAAGCTGTACTGTTTGAAAGTCATTCTGCATAGAAAATTCAGTATTGTATTAAACAAAAGGAAAGTAATAAATTTAATGATACTATTTAATTAATCTTTTATTATTACTGTCTTTGAAGCTTTGGTGATAAATTGCAGCCTCAGCCAAAAGCACTTCTTGTGATTCATTGCTTGAGACCAGCACTTAATGTATCATCAAAAGTGGACACCTCTCTCTGTTTCATGGGTTATTTAACTTGAGAAAGGGAAAGTAACACAAACCTTAAGTTTCTTACTCCAGCTATTCTTTTTTAGGAGCCAAAGTCAACATTTATGTTTCCCCAGTGCCTCTCACTTTCACCAAGGAATGTTTAGAATCTTAAATTTCTACTTTTTTTTTTCCTTTTATTTTTTTTAATGACATGTTCTTCTGTGCAAATGCACTGGTTTTGTTGAGCTAATGCTGTTTTCCTGGATCTTTCCTTCTTTTCCTGTCTGTGCTTCACTCCCTACCAACTTTGCAATGTAGCAAGCTGAGCAGTTGTTCAATCAGATGTACAATCCAGTAAGTTCATTTTTAAATTGCCCGCTGTAACATATGGAAGCATGAGGATCCATTCCCTCACTGTGTTGTGCTCTTCCTCTGTGGAGCTTTGCAGAACACTCCTGGTGCTCACTCTGCTGTACCCATTATATCCAAATAAATGAACTTTGTGGACTTGAAGGCCATTTTAAGAATCTAAAATGTATTAAATAGGTACATACTCTGTTTCTGAGAAAATAAACTTCCTTTAGGTCCTCAACTTCTCCATCAGAAAATGCATGCAGAATTTTTTTCCTTTTGCTTTGCTTTTTAATTCCTCCTTGTGCAGTACTTTATTTGATCCTTCAAACTTATGTAACTCCTAATTTATTCAGTTTATCTTCAGTGACTGAGTTAATTAGATGAATAATAATACCTAGGAAATGACTGGCAGTATTTTCAAAAGTCCATATGACTAAAAGAGATTAGTTCTACTCATGAAAGACTGTATACATTTAGCATATACACATTAGGAACATGGAAACTTTGTATTTAAGTGAAGAAAATACTGAAATATAAAATGATAAATGCAAAAGGCAGTCTTTGCAAAAGCACAGCATTGCTTTGGCTTGTATAGCATTAATATTCTCACAAATGCCTGCTTTAATTGCACATTATCTCTTTTAACTTGACTCCTTCAATTTGAGGAAGAGCAGCAACAAACCTTTTCTCTGCAGAGAGGAGTTTCCATCTTTTTGGCTGAGACTGTTACATTTAATGTGCTGCGAGCATCACAGGACAGAAAAATGATTTAACTGTAAGAGCAATTTAAAAGCTATAGTTTACATAGTAATCCTAGTCAGAATCACTATGTAATTTGGATAGTGTATATATAGAAGAAGTGGGTTTGTAGCTTAAGTAATGTGATACTGCACATTAGAGGAGGTATTGCCATCACTGGAGTCAGTGGGAGCTTTGCCATGGGCAAATGGACCAGGATTCCAGCTTTGGAATCTATTATGGTTAGGTTTTGTAGCTCCAACCATGTAATGGACATGTCATGACTTTTGTATGGGAAAAGAGATTTCCACACAATCTGCTGTGTTTACTTTTGAAGTTGTTGGTTACCTGTATTGAGAATTGAGTCATAAATTGTAGCACAATATGATAAAACCTGACATTATGACCTCTACCCTCCAGCACAGTGCTGGAGAAAGAGCTTGTCCCTTTCAATGATACACCCATTTTTTTTCTGTATCATCTTGGGTCACTTCTGTGATAGTTATGTTTCTATTCACATCATTTGCACTGCTCCTGTGCATGTCTTTTCAGACTGGAGTCTTTTTACTGTTAGTTTTTAGCTTGGTTTTCATAAATACTGGCCAGTCATTACCTCAATATTAGTGATTCTGCTGTATAGAATTCATTTGTTACTTCCTAAGCTGTTTGTGTGCAGTATTCCAAAGTCAGTCCTTTTCTTAGCTGGTTTTTCTGCCTTTATGTGGTTAATTTTCAAAAGGACAGCCTGCTGGAAGTTGCAAAGCAATGGATGCAGGATCCTTTTCCTTTGGCACCAGGCAGCAATCGTACTATACCCACAATATGATTTTTTTAAAATAAACTTCTCTTGCTCAACTTCTTTCTTCTCCTACATATATGAGAATAAGTTGTAAATAGAATTGGACATACATTTCTTCATGCTTTAAAGGTGAACTTTTTGAAATGCCCAATAAGATTTTGTGCAAAATTGATTATAAGAAATTATGTTATTGCCTTTGTGCTGTCATTTAAATGTCGTGCTGTACTGAGTTTGGAGTTCAGGTGAACCTTTTTCTGAATATTAAAGCCTAATTTTCCAAGATCTTCTATAAGAGAAGTGTCAGATTAAAATTTAAACTACTTGCAGAATACACTATAAATTACTTAGAGCAGTCCCTAAAGTTAAATAAAAACCTCCAGAGTTTTAAGGCGACAAGAAAATCTGTGTGACAGCAATCTTTTTTTCCCATTTATTCTTGAAAGTAATAAAATTTGAAGGATCTTACAAAGTAATAAATATCTTGCATGTAAATTCTGCTGTTCCTTTTCTTTTTTCTTTTTTTATTTTTTTGATTTTAAGTACCCACAGTATTTCTGTGTATGTTTGCGTCTCAAGCTTTAAAAATGAAATGCTTATCTATCCATCCATTTCTATTATGCAGAATAATACTTGCATGACTGTAGCATAAGACTTTAATAGCCTAAATAATTCGTGTTGCATGTCTGTGCCACACTGTTATGATATTTCTGTAGGAAATTTGTGGTTTACATAAGGAAATGTTACTTTTCTTCTAAACCATTTGCAGTGCTTATGAAGCAAAGATCAGAACAGATGTATAATTAATGTGAAAGTTTGTGACATTCTAATGGTAGTGTGATATGCTATTTTTAATCAGTTGTAAAAATAACACACAACATCACAGTCATGATATTGGGAGAAAAAGCATCATTGAGTGGTTTAGTTTGAAATTAACCTAATCTATACACAACAAGGGTTATCATTTGCAGATACAGATTTAAGAAAGCTGAAAAATACACATGGACTAGTCCCTTCTACCCATAAAAGCTGCATAGAAACAGAAAATGTGTTTTCCAAGGTAACAGAGAACTTTAGGGAGTAAACAGGGGACAGAAATTAAACAGAAAAAGGAGAGTACAGCAGAAATAGGCAGAGACTTTTTGATTCATGTGATTCATGCAGCTTCTGTCTAGAACTAGATCCAACAGTTCAGTCTACAGCCTAAAAAAAGCCAAAGAAATCTGCCCTGTCCTGGCAGGAGCAGGGTCAATATCAACTGAGCTGCCTTTTAACTCCTTTGGGCCTACTGTTTGACCTCAAAAGTCAAGTTCCATCTGTCAACAAATCACCCCTGATCTGTACACAGCAAATTCAGAAAGGTGCCTAGTTCAGACCCAAACACATCTTTCAAAGCCATAAAAATAGAATGGGGTCTTATAAGTAATTCTGTGCCTTTGTCCTGGCAATGTCAGATGGATTTTGTTTTGCTCTTTTCTGGTATCAGCAGTTGTGTTTACAATGTGAAGAGTCCCTTAAAGAGAATTGCAGGTTAAAGTATCACCTGCAGAAAGCTCTTTGTAAAAATTGTTTTTATGTTCTTGCTCCCCCTTTTTAACTAACTTTACTTCGTTTGGGCAATACCCTTGTAGAAATCTGGTTCCTGCCAATAGTTGAAAAAGTTTTTTTTAATTGTTTTGAAAAGTAGAGGCAGTCGGCTAAATTGGTGGTTTGCAATACTGGTTTTATTTTTTTTAATTAATTTTTTTTTAAGACCAACCTTGTAGTAACTTAATGCTTACATTGATTTATATGTGACCTTGGTTGGTGCTTAATCACGTTTAATCATACCTTAGAAGTTCCACTTCATGTTGGGGAAATGCAGTGACCCAGTTTGTGCTGCAGAATTTTCCAAAAACACATCCTACAAATAGGGAATAGCGTGTGTACCACAGAAAGAACTAAAAATTTTTACACCTTAATGTTGATTTCCTTAGGGTGCTGTTGAGCCAAGATTTAAAGGGATAAAGTGAGTAACATATTTATTATTTTAGGTGGTGTTTTGTTTATCAGTTGTGCAGTAGGTAATTTTTTCAGTACACTTCTGAGCTGCTGTGTGACAGGAATACTCCATGGTGGTAGAACGTTTGGCACCTCTGCATTGGTGATGCTATCATGTTCTTGCCCAGTTATTCATTTTCCTTGTAGAAAGTGCAGCGTGGCAATGAAACATAAAACAGACAGGCTTCTCTCCCTCATCTGCATTGCTTCTTGCTCTGGGGTAAGAGAAGGGTAGAGGTACATGGGGAAAAAAGTTTGGGCAGAAGCTGAGACTTTCTTTATGCTCAAGGGAAAACTGGTTAGAGGAAGGTAGGTGGGTGTTTTTCCTCTCTATGAAACGATGGAAGCAAGGCTGGTATGCAATTAAATCTGTACCAAAGGGAAGGGTTAGGGTTAGGTGACAGGGAGTTAGATGAAAGAGCAATAACCTTTGGAGAGAAACTGTGAAATTCTGGATTTACCCTTGGGAGAGGAGGAGAAATCTGAAGAATAGGGAACAGTATGCTTTTTTTGAGTAAGTTTCTTAGTGCCTTGAAGGTGGGAGCTGGATTATATTTCTTTTTCTAGAGTGAATTTACCTATGGAATTAAATGATTCCTTCCAAAATTACATAATGATAAAAAAATGTACAATATTGTAATAGGGTTTATGGACAATCAAAGTATTTTCTCAGATAATTGGCCTTGAGTCTGAGTATTACATTGACTTCAAAAATTACAAAGCTAGTTGAAAATAAATTTCTTGATACAATTAACAACTGGTATAAAAGAAATCCAAGTTTATTATTAAGGAAGATTGAGCCTGAAAAGGAATCTGTTGCTGACATCTCAGTCAAACAGTAAAATCAAGATACTCCTTGAATGTTACCTTGAAAAGAGTTCTGTGTTTGAAAAGTCTTATATTGGCATGGAATCCAGGACTGGAGCATGTATCAAAACAGAGATTTTGAAGAGCAAGGTCAGTAGGTTTATTAGGCTCCTCATATGATTCCCTTGGCTTCTTTTGGTGATGAAATACTTCTGAATGAAAATCTCCAAGTAGGATAAGTAACACTTCAAATCTACTATCTTTTTCTTATTATCCTCATGCTTAAATGATATGTTACATGCAAACACCCTAAGTTTTTTCCCTACTAATTTCAATTTTTTTTTTGTATTTGTAGTAAACTCAGACTTGTTCTTTATTTATACAGAACATTTTAACCATTGCAAAGAATATGGACCTTCTAGTATCTGTAGTTTATATTAGTTCTTTCCCAAACATGCATGCTTCATTTTGATCTGCATTTCTTTCATTGCTTGCTTGCGTTGTCCATTCCCTGAAATTAAGAAGGATAAGTAAGTCCATGTCTTCTCTGCGTACTAAGATAGGTGGAGGACCTTCAGTTTTATACCGTGAATTTCTATAAAAAAATCCTGTATGTTACCTGAATTTTCTATGTTTAATGTGCACTGCCTTAAACTACTTCTTTTTTCCTTGCCTGCTCTTTCAAGATGCCAATTAGGAATAATGGGAAGCAAGGGGTAGGCTAAGCATTGCAGTGCATCGTTGTTTCCATCTGTCTGTGATTATTGCAGCCCACAGTTGAAAGCACTCGGTGCCAGGTCGTGCTCCCATTGAAGCTAATTGGGTTTTTGCCATTAGGTTTGATGGGAGTTGGACTGGGCTCTGCACTCTTGTTGTTTTCATTGCGTTCTCTCTTGTCTGTGGAACTCCCACCCATCCATGCATGTGTTTGCCAGGTTTGTGCTGTGTTCACCAATGGGCTTGTTCCTCTGATGTTTCAGGTTAAGTATTAATAATAGGCTAAAAAGGATTATTGGGTAAGATGTCTGCTGAAAGCAGATTCTTAGTTTATTGGTTTGTCTTTTAAAATCACCTCTGCATTAAAAATAATTTCTTTCCTTTAAATTCTTTGTATCAAACTGCATTTGAGACATTTGGTGATACAGATATATACAATATGTATATATGTATCTGTATATTTATACATGGACAAAGTGTGTGTGCTTATGTATAGGGAAAGAGTACGTGATTTATTAAGAAATTGCCTATATATTCAAAACACACTTAATGTGAATTTAATAAATTACAAGGTGAGTTTTTGTGAAATTTGAAGAAACACCTTTAACGTGGGGTCACTTTAATATGTAAAAACCCCCTTAATAAATCCCCTCCCCTTTCAGGACAATAGAATTTGACTATGTAGATATTTTCATTTATTTTTATAATGCATCAGACAGGAATACCCATAATCCTTTTTAATGTAAACTTGAACTCCGAGACTGAAGTAAAGCTTTTAAAGCTATTTAAGTTATTGTCACCCTTATCTTTTTTGAAATATTGATTCTGAAGGCTCATGAAGCTGAAGAGGAGGCACGGATGAATCCAGAATTTGCAGACAGAATGAAACAGCTCGACAAGGAGGCGTCGTACTATAGAGAAGAATGTGGCAAAGCTCAGGCTGAGGTTGACAGACTTCTAGAAATACTGAAGGAAGTAGAGAATGAGAAGAATGACAAAGATAAGAAAATTGCTGAGTTAGAAAGGTAATTTTTGTATTGTCTTACATTGAGTAGCATTTTTGCTTACTTGATCTTCATTTCAGAAGCAGAGGTTACAAGTGGAGTATGTTTTTTAAGAGTATAGTGGTTATGCTTTGTAAAATAACAGAAAAGGGCAGCTTGAGAACTGCATCTCCTGTTGGCTGACTTTGGAAAAATTTAAGATTTCCATTTTTTAATACTCTCCATAAAACAAGCACGTATAGGAAAGGTCATGTGCAATTTACAGGCACAATCACCAACCAGAAAACAGTGTTGGGGAACAAGCCTGTCTTTTTAGTAACTGGTGAATCAGACCTGCCCCCACGTGTTTCTTCAAGTGTGAACATCATCAGTCATTCTCAGGGGTCCTGAAAAGTATTGGTAAATATTTCTAACCCATCTCATGACTATTTAATAATAGTTGTAACTATTTCTCAGTGTTCCCATAGTCTTTGTTTGCTTGAAAAGAATATTTTTTGATGTTGACCAGGCAGTGATTGTCTTGTGTCTGGAAAGGTTGTAGAGGCTCTCCATGATGGAGAGAGGAGGGTTTTGGGATTTGTCTTATGGCCTTTGCAATTAAATACATCTTGGAACCTTCTCCTGTACGGGGTCCTGCTTTTTATTTGATTGATCTGTTTGCTTTTTTCTCTTCCTTTAATCAGACACCCTTGCTTGAATGAAAGAAGGAATTATGTGTTTTCAAATAATTTATATAATTGTTTGATTATGATCAAGTCTGCAGAAAACAGTTTTATCACTCCAAAAAAGAAGTTTAAGTGATTTTATTTTTGTGATCATTGCTATAGTTCCAGTCAAGACCAAGCACCCCCATTAGGGAGCATTACCATGAAAGAGAGAAACATGTCAGAAATGCTGGTTATCTCGGAGGGTAACAGCCAGCATGGAAAGAAAGATGTGTAAAGCACCTTTTACTGAGGATGACTTACTAATCTTCACAGCTACCCGCTGCCAAAAGTTGTTACTCTTTGCAGATGTTTGGTTGAGGTCAGTAATGGCTAAGAACCATGAGAATGGAGACCTCAAATTCAAAACGAGAGAAGATTTGTATTTAAAATAGACCTTACATAAGGGCAACTTCAGTTGGCAGTTGACTCTCTCAGCACATCAGAGTTTCGAATACTCAAGTGTTTGCCTCTGTTTTAATGTGTAAAGGAGGTCCCAGAGGAAGTGAGTAATCAAGAGTGGGCACTTTGTGCACCATGCCTGTGAGCTCTGATACACTCTCCAAAATCCTATAGCAGCATATTGGAAAAGATAGTTAGAGGTTTTGTGTGGATGAGAAAGTGCTGCCTTTGCCATGCAGGGATGCAGGGGCAGTTACAGGCCCAGACTTGTAATGCAGCAGCTGCAGGTGTGACCACCAGGTGTAAACAGCAACTGATCCCCTCCTTGCGCTGTAAAACTGAATTATTGCGTGACACCAGACTCATTAATAGGCACAGTAATCTTGGGTTCAAGAGGATAATCTTAAGACCTTTATTAGATAGCAATCATGAATGAGTTGAATGTTTGAATATTAAAATGACAAAATTATAGGATGACGAATAAGTTAAATCATGATGGTCATGATGAAGTACTGGAGTTTGTGATCTCAAATTTCTGGAAATGTTAATTTCATTTAAATACTTTATGTAAAAAGAGAGAAAGAATTGATAGAGAGAAGTAAATTAATTTGAGTTGAGAATGATTGATTACAAGACAACAATTACAAAGGTACAAGGAACTAAGGGGTCCAGAGATATTGGTACAGCATTATCAGCATACAATCTGTTCCTATTGTCTGAGAACCCTGTAATGCATGAGAATTTTCTGTTTTTGTATTCATTTTCTTTTCAAATGTGTTATACTCTCAGCAGTGAAGCTTTGGAGCACCAGTTTCTAGTCTGTTATTGCGGATGAGGGTTTTGACCCTGAAATAACTTCTCAGAAAATAATGTGGTACTGCTGAGTGAACACAGACTTTTGAAGAGAATGTACTGTACTTAGAATGTGATGGAGTGGTTAAACTTTGCTATGGACCTTTAGCATATATTTGACATTTCCTCAAACTTCAGATGCAAGGGCATCTCTGGGGTCCTGTAGGAAAATGAATGTGACATTAAAATGCATTTATTCCTTCATAGCTTGCTGGGATCCATGTTCACTGCTATGCCAACATCTTTACGCTGCAAGATAATTGCAACAACATAAATTCTGAAAAGATATCAACATAAATTTCTGAGGAAGTGATTATCTAAGCTATTGCAAGCTGTGGTATCCTCACAATATTTGTTATATTCACATAATGAGGTGTGCTTGTATAAATAAGTTTGAAAAGTAAAAATGGTTGGAATAAAGTTATAATTTACAAATTCAAACAAAAATTAAAACAAGGAGATGAATATTAACATTCTACTAGTCAGAAAGTATTGACACACGAAGTGTCAAATACTTGGGTAGAAATATCTGCTTTGATATATGGGCAGTTAAATTTATAAGTGTGTGCTACTTGGCAGATGAACATTATTAATAATTTTAAAGAAATCTTAATGTGAATGGTAATTCTTTTGGTTTTAATGTGATTTCCTTGGCTCAGAAATTATCACACTCCTGAACATCATCACTTTAGATTAATATTATTGCTCATATAAAATAATATTGGTCTGTTTCTTTGATTGCTCTCCCTATATTAACTTTTTATTTTGCAGTTTCTTATTACTACACAGGAGAAACTACTCCTTCTTCTATACTTAAATATTTGATAACTTTTATTATAATTTTTACAATTTATCTGTTTATAATTAAAAAAAGTTTAAAATCACATGCAACATATTGCATTTAATGTATAATGTATTTTTGTTAAATTTAGCTTGCTGTTTGTCTTTGGTTTTCTTGATGAAGGACATGTGGTTCAGGTTTTTTTGGTTTTTTAAATAATGTAAATGAAACTGGATAAGGTAGTGATCAGCTAAAGTTTTAATGTCAAGAGCCTCACCAAGGAGAGGGAGCTGCAACTGAAACAGAACTGTCAGGATTGAAGGAGTGTATTGTTTAAAGCTTTTATTAATGGTGTTAGAATGAGAAGTATGTTTATGAAATGTGATAGAGAGTTTGAATCACAAAATGAAGTGAAATACAGCGGCATAAAATGCATGTTTGTGAAGTTAGGACCAGTAAGGCTTCCTGATATAAACTAAGGATAATCCTTGATACAGTTCAGGAAAAGAAAGATTGGGTGAATTTGCTTACAGCTGTGTCATTATGAGCCATCTGAATAATGAAGCAGAGGTCTAAATAATGAGGAGTGAATCCTGATATGTCAGAATAAACATCTGCAGTAAGGATAGGAAGGTATTAATGTCATCAGGTGCTGGCAAGGCTCTGTCTGGAATGCTGCTGTGTACTTCTCATCAGTCATATGCCTGGAGGTTGAATTAAAACTGGCAACAGGTGCAGACAGGGCTGGTAAGAAGGAGTGAGGTGCTCATGGCACAGGCGGAGTGTAAGCAGCAGTGGTTTGCTTCTCTGGCAGAACAGAGCTCTGCAGGATGCTTGTTCTGTGTAAATATGGGAAAGGATAAGCACTGCAGGGAAAGAAGAGCGATTTCAGTAAAAGAGCACTGACACATAATACAATATAAATTATCCATTGGTAAATTTACACTGAAAAGGGAAAGAAAGTGATGACAATGTGGTGAGGATTGCAAAATCTTGGATCCATGTTTCTCCAGTGGTGTGTGAGATACTCGTCCAGTTGCTTGGCTAAGTGTAGCTTCTCAGCAAAGATTGCAGCAATATAAAAGTCCATTTAAACATATTATGCTAACTATGAGACACACCTGTTTGTTCTTAAACAAGGAGTTGATTTTTGTTTTTGTTACCTACTTCTCATATGCAGTGGGTATATAACACTATAGATGTGTATTCAAGCTCTTGGGGTATTCAGACTACAATTAATTAATTCTGAAATGATTTGGATTTGAATTCTCATGATGGTAAGTCCACACAGCAGTGACAAGTCATTGCACAAGAGACAAAACATCAGCATGTGGAATAAAATTTTTTTTAAATACATTTAAAAAAAAAGTACTTTTATGGCTGTTAAATATGCTCCTTTTCCTAAATGGACAAAATGCTGTGTCAGGGACAGATTTAAGGACTAGTCTAGCTGTGTGGGGATTGTTTTGGCCTTACTTTTTTGAAAAGGGTGTTAAATATTTTTTTAACAAATAAAGTTGTTAAAAATCAGAGTATTTTCAGTACTGAAGTAATAATTCTCTTCTTCATACTGAATTAAAAATTTGCTGTCAGCATTGGAAGGAGCTGCATTTCTGTGGTGGGGTGTCAAATCTTCATCTTGGATTATTAACTTCTGAGTATCTTTGAACAAGTTGCCAAATTGTTTAGCTGCTTTGACTGCCATTGGAAGTCTTGATGAATGAGGGTCATCAGCCTGTGACAGTTCAAATGAAAGACTTTGTGGCATATGACAAGATGTTTGTGGGGCAGCAAATGCTACCAATTTATTTGTTCTATTTGATGTGTATATGAATTTGGAATTTGGATGGCTATAAATATGGATGTATTTATGCTGTCCACCAGTGACAAGACCCCCTTTTGATTTAGAGTTTGTTTTCTTCATTGCACAGGAAGGATGTACCTCTGCAGAAATTTCATTTTAGTTCTTGCTTTCCCTTCCCTTTCCTTTTATTTTTTTACTTTTTTTAATAATCTGCTAATATAACATCTGCTTGTTATATTTTTAAAGAACTAATGTGTTCCTCCCTTTATTCTCTTTTGCTGTCTTCCTCCCTATCTGTTTTTCTCCAAACTGCTGCTTTCATCCCTACTCCAACCAGCTTGACTTCCAGGTCAGTATTTTCTGCTCTCCTACTTAATGCTCCTTCCACAATGAAGGTTTTCATTGATGCTTCATTTGTTTGGTTGTTTTGATTCCACATTATTAACTTTTGTTTGTATTTTGTTGTTTTTGTTCTGCTTGTCCCTATTGTGAAGTTTTTGGTCATTTCATTTCTAGACCAGAAACTTTCCAGTAAATGGATCTTTTCCTTGAATGCCTATAAGAAAAAATAATGTTTATTAACAACATATTCAATTTGTATGTTGTTTTTTGAGCATTTTTTTCTTCTTTTGGTTTTGCTTATGTTATCTTTGTTTATGAAGTTTGACATTTGGAATAATTTTTTAGTAGATAGCCCAACGCACCAGGTAATGAACAGTGACAATTGATACAGAGAGATTTATACCAAAGATCAGAGACTTATTCTTAAAATGTTGCCATTGCCCCTTTTACTACTTACAAACAGAATATGAGGAGTTGCAGTGGTTCAGAAGCTTGTAGCTGTTTTTGCTGGCCAGATTCTGGGCCAGCACATAACTGTAAAGTTACAGACATACACGTCTGTATGTGCTTTTGTGCTGTGTTTGTATGCAACCTCATCTAGTCAGGTTTGTGTTTTAAGTTCTTCCAGGTTGTAGATTAGTTTAGCTGGCATTTGTCTTTGCACACTGCTTCTGAGTAAACTTTTCAAGTATTACATGTCTCGTTGTGCTTGTTGGAAGCAAAAATTGATCTGGTTGACATTTTTTTCTCTTAGTAGGCCCTGGTGTTAATTTTCTTTCTCATGCTTATAGGTGGTTGTAAATTGTAAGGTAGCAAAGTCTTAAAAGATCTTTTTGATGTTTTCTCTTGGGAGAGTCAAGACCAAGCACAATTCACAGTTCGGACATGTCAGAGAAGTCTCTGACAGGGATGCCATCAAACTGCACAGCTAAAGATGGCTCATTGCAAAGAGATGCCAAGACTTCTTTTTCCTCCTGATGCCCTTTAGTACATGTCACAATCAGAAATTACTTTCCAGCTGAAAAGTTTTGTTTCTGAAATTTGAGGCTTATCGATTGCACAAAGAATTGGATGAACTCTAAATTTACTGTCTATCTACTTCAAGCACATTTTTATGTGCTTGAAGGGATAGTTATTACACCCAGATTGTGAAAATACTTCAACAATTTATTTTCAGAATCTATCTTTCCTCTATCTTTCTTACTTAATTAAATCCATTTATTATGGAGTTGGCCAAGATGAAATTCTTGTCTGAATGTGACCACTTTGCATTTCTATCAGAGCCCATTCAACATTGATTGAAAATCTCTCTGGCTCAAGAGAGCCTAAAGTAAGCCATTATGCTATGTGGTTGTCATTATGGTTGATTTCACTGGAATTCAATGATTGGTATGCAGAAACATTTGTTCAGCAGTTGGAGGTGCAATTTCTGTTATGTTTTATTGACCTAAAAAGCCAACTGACCTTGTTGAAGCAAACTGTCTGCATAACCCTGCCAACTTCCATCCCTAGAGTCCCAGATAAGTTGTAGAGTATGATTAGAATTTATTGTGGGTATTCAGTGAAGTGTTAAGTTTTCTCAGCTTGAATCTTCATTAAGGTCAAAACTTAATTTAAGAAACAGATCTATTAATTTCCATAATTTCTGTTGATCAGTATGTTCTTAGCTGTCATTTTAGTCATCCATACTCCTATGAGGTTTTTATGGTTAGAAAAATGCTGCATCTGTTTTAAAAGGTGGTAGGCTAACAAGAAAATCATATATATTGGCATAATGCCCTCATGTGCACCTGTCTGTACAAGATAAGAATATTCAGAGTACAACCATCAGTACAGTGACATCCCCACACCTTTTGGTTACAGCAGGTTATACACTCCCCACACTTTTCTTCCTGCAGTTAAGCAGGAGATGGATATTTTTTCCACTGTGAATTGTACTGACCAGTGCTAGAAAGTTTCCCACCAGCTCTGATGTTGGCCTTCCTAATTGTTTCTATGGGAGGCCAGAGCTCAGTGAGATGTGCAAGGGAAGGTTCAATGGAGTTTTAAATTTAACCTACAAGCCATCCACGGTTTTGTCAAATGTCAGTTTGATGGTTCCAAGGGCAGAGTGATATGTTGTTCAAAGATAATGTCCCTGGAGAAATGGAGATAGTGTACTACTGAAAACTGAGAGAATCTGTGATATACATTACTCTTCTGAGAGACTGGTTATTCTGAGTGAGAAGCATAGTTGTCATGTTGGATAACAGGCAGATTGCTGACATGTCATTCTCTTTTAGTCTGTTTGCTACACATGCAGAACCAATGTTTTAGCATTTAAACATTTTGAAAGAGATGACATTTTGAGATGAGATTATACGGATTTAGATGATTTTATGTGAGGTTTTAAACTTTTGTAAATTTCATTTTTTAAGAAATAGTGAAGTAGAAAGTTTATTTATTTGGTATTTTACTTTAAGGGAAAAAAAGGAAATAATTTATTACAAAATAAGCAGAAATCATAACGATGAACAATAAAGATACAAACAGGGCCCTGGGACAAGATGTTGCACTGTTCTTCAATTCCATCCCTCTCACTACTGAACTTGTCAGCCTCGTTCTGGACTTTCCCTTTCAGTTTGCTGAAAGCCATGCAAAGGTTAAAATAGAAAGGAATTATTTAAATAAGGAAGGATATTTTGTAATTTGATTTGGTTTTTTTGAGATTTGATTTGGAGGGTAAATACTCCATAAAGTAAATGGTTATGCAGAATGAAGTGGATATGAGGAGGAAAGAGCTCTACCTCACTGAAGGAAAAATATCAGCTTTGGATTTGGTTGGATGTGACATCACAACTCTGTACTGGGAAAGAGAGAACTGAAGGCACTGTTACTCTTCCCTTTCATGATTACTGATTGAAGACATCAGTATTTCTTATGTTTCTCCAGACCTGCTGCCTCCACTAGTTTTCCTCAGAGGCAAGATCCAGAGGGCAGATTTCTCTACCTTTTGAACCTGTGCATGAAGTAGCCCCAGAGCACTCCCTGGGGATATTGGTGTCTGCTGGGCTCAATGCTGTCAGGATTCCCTGTGCACGGTACAGGGGTGTGTGGTGAAGAATCTTTGTGAGATAGCACAGCTTGCCCTTAAAAAGCTGTTACTGAAAAGAGACAGGGGTACTAAATTTAGGAATTGGGCTGTTGGTGGAACCACTCCTTCCACTGGTATTGTTTGCTTTCCCAGCGCAGGAGCAACATGCCTGATCTGAATTTATAGTAAGGGGAAGTTTGTGTGTGTGAACAAGAATCATACATAGTGTACCCGATTTATTTGGAGGTCTGAAGAAGTTACTGCAAAAGCATGGAAAGCTTGATTTACGTATTGGATGATAATGGCTGAATTGATCCTGAGAACTTCTAGGGTGAGCGAGGAGTTGCAATCAAAAGATTTGATCCAGAATGAGGTTGCAATGAAACATGGAGTGCTGCAGAGGAGGTGTGATCGTGATTGCTGTCAGGCTGGGCTGGACATGCTGTGGAGCAGTTGGATGCAAAGAAAAACTGGAGTCAGGAGCTGCTTTTTCTGTGGTGTGGTTTTTTTTTTTTTTGTTTGTTTGTTTGTTTATGTGGAGATGTTTTGTTAGTTTGGTAGTTTGAAGAACAAAGCTTTTCTGGACTACAGCTGGGAAGGACCTGATGGACCAGTAGCAGGGCTGCAACTTCTTGGTTGCAAGTTTCTGGCAACAAATTATTTCCAGTAACTGGTTACAGTTATTGCTAATGGTCTCAACTAATAAAATAGCTGAGCAAGCAATTGCCATATTAAATCAGATCAAATATCCTTCTCATCTAGCGTGCTGTCATCAGTGCTTTTTGGTTTTTTTTAAAGAAGAACATCAGAAGAAAATGCACGACAATCCTGGGTGTAGGAGAGAGATGTGTGACAGATGAGTCTTCTGGTACGAATTTCACACATGTTCATGTAAAGTGTCATCCAGCAGGAATGTGCTGAGGAAGACAGCAGTGCTGGGTCGGAGTTTCCGTGGTTGCAGTGCAGATCTGCCTTGAAACAAAGTGACATGAACCATAGTTTGGAACAGGATTTTAGTACGTCTCTTTCATTCATGCGTTATCCTCACGTGGATATTTCTAGCTTCTCTCCAGGGCTTTGGAGGGAACTGTGTCAGACTAAACACTTCTTAAATAAAGATTTTGGAAAACTTCCCAGAGTGTGTGTTAGGTAAATCCTTCCTCCCACATTTTTGCCTGTGAGGTGAGAAATGTTTCAGTGACTTGTGTGACGCTCGCTTGATTTCTACCAGGCAGAGTTCTCGGTTGTCCCAGGACAATAATATTGTTTTGTGGTGTATTTGGGGGCAAAACAATTGTCTCACTGAAAAATTGTCATAATATGAATATTAAGAAACCTGAAGCCAGCCTTCAGGCAATTGAGATGATGAGATTTAAAAGAGGGAGGAGTGTAAGGGGATGGGAAGAAGGGTTTTTTTTGAGACTTACAGGTCTCTGTGGGCTACAAGCCTGCTCCTTCAGGATAGAACTGAAATAGCTATGTAACCTGTCAGTAACAAGAGCTGGGAATGTAATGACAACATTGAATATACTAAAATTAATTTATCTTAGCTGCTAATTCTGGGCATGATGCATTCAGCTGGAGAATTAGGGATATAGGATTTAATTTTTTAAAGATATTTTAAAATTATTTTAATATTACTTGGTTTAGGTGATTTTTTTTGTCCCATGTTTGTGTTGATCATTTTACTTTCCATTCTTTCTATCAAAGAGATATGGTGAGAACACAGAGGGGTACTTGCCAGTTCTGATGAGCAGATGAACTGTGATGTGGACTTTGCCATAGTCTCAGCATCAGGTGAATAGCAGAGAGAAGAGCAAGCATCCTTCTGCAGTCAGAGATAGTATTAATTTGTTATGATAGTATTTTTTCAGGCATGTGGAAAATACCGGCCTTTATTAGCTAAAGATAAAGTCAGTATGGTGAAGGTTAAC